AATTTTTTTTGGTCTGGGAAGCTCTTTATTTCACCATCTTAAATGAGAGCCTTGCTGGATATAGTAACCTTGGTTTCAGATCCTTGCTATTCATTACCTTGAGTGCTTCATGCTTTTGCCTTTAGAGTTTCTGATGAGATATCAGTTGACAGCCTTATGGGAGCTCCTTTATAGGTAACAGATTGCTTTTCTCTTGCTGCCTTTAAGGTTCTCTCTTTGTATGTATGCCTAGGTTTCACTCTCCATTTCTTCTCATTATATCATTGCCTTTAGCATTTCTTGCAATGCTGGCTTGGTGGTGATAAACTCCCCCCCCCCCCCTTTTTTTTTTTTTTTTTTTTTTTTGTGAACTTTTTGCCTTTAGAGTTTCTGATGAGATATCAGTTGACAGCCTTATGGGAGCTCCTTTATAGGTAACAGATTGCTTTTCTCTTGCTGCCTTTAAGGTTCTCTCTTTGTCTTTCATTTTTGGCATTTTAATTATGATGTGACTGGGCATGGGCCTTTTTGGGTTTTTCTTGCTTGAGTCTCTGTACCTCCTGAACTTGTGTGACTTTTTCCTTCACCAGGTTAGGAAAGTTTTCTGCCATTATTTCTTCAAACATGTTCTCTATCCCTTACTCCCCTTTCTTCCCATTCTAGTGCACCTATTATGTGAATATTGTTTTTTTTTTAATATATTTTTATTGATTTCAGAGAGTGAGAGGGAGAAAGAGATAGGAACTTCAATTATGAGAATCATTGATCAGCTGCCTCCTGCAGCTGGGGATTGAGCCTGCAACCCAGGCATGTGCCCTTGACCGGAATCAAACCCAGGACCTTTCAGTCTGCTGGCCAACACTCTATCCACTGAGCCAAACCAACTAGGACTGTCCTCTTGTTTTCTAATTCTTTTTTTTTTTTTTTTGGTTCTCTGATTGGATGATTTTTCTTCCCTAATTCACTGACCCCATCCTCAGCTTCTCCTAATCTGCTGTGTATTCTTCCCAATGTTTTATTTGTGTTATGTCATTCTTTATTTCCGACTGTTCTTTTTCATAGTTACTATATCTTTTCTCATGCTGTTGAGCATCTTTGCTATCATTATTCTGAACTCTATTATCACATAATTTTATCTCTATTTTATTTATCTCTTCTTCTGGAGAATTCTCTTGTTCTTTCATTTGGGGCTTTTTTTTTTGGCTCCTCATTTTGGCTGCCTGTTTGGGTTTGTGACTGTGTATTAGGTAGATCTGTTACACCTTCCAATCTCTAGTGCAGGGCAGTGTCAAACACTGTTTCTGACTAATTAGATCAGGCAAATACTCAAAGCCTCCAGAGACCTGCCTCTGCCCGAAGACTGATTGGTTTAGTCTTCAGTAGTCCTCAGGCAATCGTCCAAGGGAGTGGCAAGAGGTTTTCCAACAGGATGGAGTCGTTGCTTTTACCTGGAGGCTAATTGTTATTCTCAATCTCTTAATGGGCCTCAGAAAGCCACACCATGGAGTAAGGGGTTTTCCAATAGGGTGGGTGAACTGTCTTCTCCCCCAGGCAAAAACCGCCTGGATTGCAAAGGCCTGCCTGAGAAAGTGGACCTCTGCAGCGTGAGGGAATAACTTAGCACAGGAAACCAGGGTGTCTGCCTTCTGAGCTCTAACCTCAGAGCCCCCGATCCTGGCTTCTGCTCACACAGCTCCAGTCTACTCTGCCCTCCCTCTGCTGGAGCCCCAGGGGAGTGGCTGCACACTAAATTTTGTGTTGGCCCTTTAAGAGGGTGCCTGCTTTTCCAGCCCTCTCTCCCTGGCAGAGTGCTTTTCACAGCCAGATATGTGGGCACCTTTCTCGGTTCTGGTGCTTTTTGCTGGGGGCGGGGCAGGGGGGCTCGCTTGGAGAGTAGACCCCAGAGTTCTCAGTGGCACCCCCCCACCCCACAGCTGAGATATAGCAGCAGAACTTCAGCTGCTGTCTGTGGGCGCCCGCCAGCCCTTTCGTGCCTCCGCCCCACCTACCAGCCTCTAATGGTCTTCTCTTTCCATCCTTGGTTATTAGGGTTCTCTCTAGTTGATTATTCAGGGTGGTTTTTTTGTTTGTTTGTTTTATGTATTTTTAGTTGTAATTTTAATTTGGTCCTGGATGGGTGTCTGTGTAGCATCCACTTATTCTGTCGCCATTTTCAATCTCCATTTCCATCCTGGTCTACATTTAACGTCTTGCCCAAATCTAGTCTTCCCATTGTGTTTGGTTATCACCTTTTCCTTGCATTTAATCATATTTTTAAATAAAAAGCATGTACCCTCTGAAATAATGCTAGAGAATATGTAAAATAGGATGAAGTTTTTAATAAAAATTTATGAACTTGCCTTTGTAACATTTTTATGATAGCCCTACTCGGATTATCTTTTGCTACTTGACTAAAATAGAACTCGATTTTTCTGTGGGGTGTTTAACACTTTGGGCCATAATCAAGCCAGGGATGAATTAATGGATCTCTGAGGGAACTGTCAAGACAGATCCCCTCTGGGTGTGAAATGTAATTAACAATGGCAGTGCACTCAGTGGGAGCGCCGCAGACCTTCAGGGACCTGGAAAATGCCAGGCAAGGACCGAAAGTAGTTCCCCCAATGGAGGGAAGGTGAGGGGAGAGCAGACTGCCCAGCAGGAGGGAGAGGCTGCAGTGCCGCCGGCTTCTCGCCACAAGGCCCTGGTATTTCTGGGGATGTTATTCTCAGATTTCCTGCAGGGATGATTTTAGCACCAGGCTGTGGGCCCCGTAGCTGGCCTCTCAATAAATGGCCAGGACGAGAGACTCCAAGACAGGATCGCATCTAAGTAATGTCAGTGCTCTCTGCAGTGGCCACCTCAGCTCCCAGACTGGCTTCCTTCCCAGGGGGCAGCCTCCCTTTTGTTATGGCAAGCTCTGCAGATGTGGGTGGGGAGCGGTGGGTAGGGAGTCTGAATACACTTGGGACCTAGGTCCCTGTTTTATGTCCTGCTGTCCCCACTCTCTCCATCCCTTGCCTCCCTGACCATGGCCTCCATCTGATTGGTGGCTAGAAGGTGGGGAGGTGGGAGCAGTTTGTTTGGGTAGAGGTCATTAGGTACAAGGCAACTTTCTTCTGGGGTTTATTAAAAATATTTGTTTCAGGTAAATAAGCAGTTATTTCTCAAGCAGTTACTTAAAGTCAAACAAGCAAGCGTCCTAATATGTGATTTTCTGTTTCTTTTCAGATTGCCTCTGCTCCTTTACTACAAGAGATTTCCCAGAGCAGAGTTCTGTGGAAGTGTGAGTTGGGTTTGGGAGCCTGGAGAATTCCCGCCGCTCCGTCCCTGCACAGGTGTGATCTGCTGGAGTCACCGCCAGGGGTTCTGGTGTGGCCAGTCATCTCGTAGCTGAGGCCAAGGGTAAGTCTGCAGCTTCCTGCTTTAAAATGGGGAGAAGAGGCTACTTTCGCCTGAAATACTTGCTTGGCACAGTAGGTTGGACATTAATAAAATGGCAGGAAGTGTAGCCCTGATTTGTTGAGACACATAATATTTCCGTTTTCAAGGGACTTGGTTGAAAAGTTACGGTCACTACCCCTGCTGTAGGGTGTGACGCGCTGAGGAGCTGGAGGCAAAGCACAGGCACCTCGCCCCGTGAAACGCCCTGCGCTCAGCTCTCCGGCCCAACAGGTGGTTCTCGAGGCTGCAGGTCGGGCCTCCTGCGCCGCTGGGAGCCCTGAGACGAGGGGGCGCTGCCGCCGGGACGCTCAGTCCAGCAGAGGCTTCACTCCGCTCTGATGCTGAGAAGACAAGTCTGCATCAGAAGTTGCCAATAGATAAAGGGTTTTGAGAAATGTTTACCTGTTTGTGCGAGAATGTACTTGTGTGTGTTAAACTGAAACCATGTCTGTATTGTAGGCAGGCGGGTTCTGAGATCCAGGGGCCCTGTAATAGCAGATACTAGACAAAGCTATACCCATATAACAAAGCATTGCTTAGCCCTGGCATCGTTTGGGATGTTTGACTTAGGACGTAAGAAATGCTGGGCAGCAGTCTGGCCGACCTGGCTCCGTCTCTGGCTGTGTGAGCAGGTGCAATTGCACCTCCAGACCAGTGCCTCACAGCTGGGAGCAGTGCCTCACAGCTAGGACCAGTGCCTCACAGCTGGAGCCAGTTCCTCACAGCTGGGACCAGTGCCTCACAGCTGAGACCAGGGCCTCACAGCTGGGAGCAGTGCCTCACAGCTGGGGCCAGGGCCTCACAGCTGGGGGATAGCACCCAGTTTATTAGCTTCCCTTCAGAACCTTGTTTTGCTGCTTTTATTCATAAATTGTTTTAAACTACTCTTGAAATCTATAACTTTGTACTATAAAATCTCTTGGTGTGACTTCTGTAAATTTATTTAGTTTAGTATACATTAGAGTTTTCTCTCATTTGGTCTAAAACTACTACCAGAATTTTGTAAATGGGTTTTTTCTCCTTGACCACTTTCTTTTCCAGGGGCATGGGAGTGATTCTTAATTTAACTTGTGTTCCCCGCTGCTGTGTGCTAACCAGAACGGCCCGGAATTAATATGCAGTGTTTCTTAAAGGGAGGGTTCAGTGCCTGACTGCCTTCGCCTCACTAACCTGTGTGACTTCTTCTGGAGAAAATGACCCCTTGTCCTGTTTATTTAGGGTATTGCTCGTCATGATTTCTAGTCGAGACCCTGGTTTGGGTTGGAGAGCTGGGAGCTCCGATTGTACAGCCTGATTCCAAGCCCCTTCTCTCTCCCTGCGCCTGCACTTGAAGCTGTACCGACCCTGCCCACCCTGGCGCCGCTGGCTCTGACTAGCTTTACACCCCCTGCCCTGCATTGCTAGGGACCTCCCAGCTACCTCTCTAGGCCTCATGGGAGACAAAACCCACCCTGCTGTTTCATGCCCCATCCTGGGCGATTTCCATGACCTTAAAAACAGCAACAAAAACTCCTAGGTACGGGGACTCCGTTTTTCTAATAGTCATTGCAGTGGAACCTGTAATGCAGCTCATATTTCATGGCAAAATAAGCTAGAAATTAAGTGCAAATCCTCAAATCTGATCACCAGAATTCATTAGTAATTCATCACTAACAAACTGACACTAACTACTTCTTTAGCAAGTTCTTGACATCAGTGACATTAACGGACAGTAAGCTATTGTCAGGCCCTGCTCAGTGTGGCCCAGTTGGCTGGAGCGCTGTCCCGTGCACCGAAAGGTCTCGGGTTCCATTCCTGGTCAGGGCACATACCCAGGTTGTGGGTTGGTCCCTGGATAGGATGTGTACGGTAGGCAACTGATCGACATCAATGTTTTTCTCTCTCTCTCTCAAATCAATTTTAAAAACATATCCTCGGGGAGGATTAAAAATCTATTTTAAGAAAAGGTTATTTTCAGGGTCCTCTCTCAGAAAGTAGTGAGGCAGGGGGAGTCGCAGACTCACCGCGGCGGCATGTTCTGCACAGACACCCGCCAGAGTCTACTACGCTTCTGCAAACGAGAGGTGGCCTGGATGATTGATTATTAGTGAGAGCTGGACGTAGATCATCATGAAGATTTTCCTACAAAAATATTTATACAGACCTGTAAAATGTTAAAGATTTGTTATTTTACAAGTTCACGAGATCCACACCAAAACCCTGATTTACTTTAATGTTGAAAATTACTTTTGTTGTTTAGAAAAATGTTCAGTGGGAAATCATGAGCTATATCCATTCACATAATAAATATTTGCTGTGAGCACCGACTGGATTCTAGGCTGTTTTTCTCGCAGTGACTATTTTAGTACTGTGCTTTCACAGCCACAGAAATAGAGAATTCCTTTTTAGACACTGGCTGTCATGGCCTCGTGGGGGCGGCAGGACCCAGGCAGCTCCCTGCAGCTCTGCGTCGCCCTGTGGTAGTTGATGCTCGTACAGCGAGTCTGTGGTACCCAAGGGGCATGGGAGTGATTCTTAATTTAACTTATGTTCCCTGCTGACCCTCGGAGAAGAGGCTGGGGCAGCCAGCAGATGCTGCGTTTGAAGGGAATGTTAAGGAACGAGGTGGGTGGGCAGAGGTGTGATGGGTCAGCACAGGCAGCTGGTGGGCCAGCAGCAGGGGGTGGGACCAGGCAAACACTGTTTGGCCAGTGGTCTCTGAAGAGCCAGCAGGAAAGTGACCACTGGGTCAGCTCTATCACTTGCCACATCTTGGGAAGCATGGAAGCAGCGCTGGCCTGGTAAGTGCTAATGGGACGTCAGCCGGTGCACTTCCAGGCATTGGGCGCTCTGGTCTGTGCTGTCCCAGTGAGACCTACGCCGGAGGCAGTTTGGGGGAGGGGGGGTGTCCAGGCTGTATCCCAGAGGGGCCTGATTGGGGTCCCCGAGCCCCTGCTTTCCTGCCCCAAATTCTCACCTTCTCCAGGAGCCTCCCCCCCTTTGAGGTGAGGGAGCCAAGCCTTCTGAGCCCCGGCCCTGGCCGTGCCCACTCTGGGGAGGGGAGAGCACGGGAAGACATGTGCAAACCCCCCTGTTCCACTGGGTGTTAGCGTGCATCTGCACGTGAGTCTTCCCGCCCGTGCTTGGGAAGGGACCGTGATTCTCTGGTGGCTGGCACTTCCTGGGCAGGGGCATCGGATGCCATACTGATGATGTTCGATCGTTTGAAAACCTTTTGGATGCTTTTACAGGAGAGAGCCTAATGGGTAGGAGGATGTTGGTGGTGTTGGGGAGGACAGATGGTGGCTTAGGTGACAAGCCTCGTGCTAAGTGAGGTAAGTAAACAAGACCTGGACTTCACACACTGCCAGTGGCTGATAAGAATATCCGGAGAGGAAGTGCTGGCAGTGAGGCCACATGTGCCTGTTTTTAAGCTCTGTTGCCGGGTATTTGACAATGAGATGGGAAGCTACCTAATGCACATCGTGGTGCGTGGTCTGCGCACATTGTGGGAACTCCCACAGCTGGTCAGTGAGCACGCCGCCACCTTGCAGCTTGTCCTTCGGTTTGGCGGGCATTGGCGGTTCCTCTCAGCGAGGCCGGGTGCAGTGCAGGGCTAACACGCAGCCTCTGTGCTGCTGGGTCAGGACTTCCTCATCTGCCCGGAAAGTCTCCCTCCTCGCCGCTCCCCATTTTCCTGCGCCCCAGCCCTGGGAACCACTCCAGCACTGTGTTTCTATGACTGCGACGTTTTTTTAGACTTTGCATATAAGTGACACCACGCAGTACTTGTCTTTCTCTGTCTGGCTTATTTCCGTAGCGTAGTGCCTCACGGGCCATCCTGTTGTAGAAAATGGCAGGATGTCCTTCTTCCTGGTGGCTGGGTGATATTCCAGAGTGTGTGTGTGTGTGTGTGTGTATCTGTGCGCGTGCGCATGCGTGCACATATTTCCTGTCTTTTACACAGATGCATCTTTTTCCTTCATCCATGTAGACCAGCGGTTCTCAACCTGTGGGTCGCGACCCATTTGGGGGTCGAACGACCCTTTCACAGGGGTCGCCTAAGACCATCGGAAAACATATAATTACATATTGTTTTTGTGATTAATCACTATGCTTTAATTATGTTCAATTTGTAACAATTAAAATACATCCTGCATATCAGATATTTACGTTAAGATTCATAACAGTAGCAACATTACAGTTATGAAGTAGCAACGAAAATCATTTTATGGTTGGGGGTCGCCACAACATGAGGAACTGTATTAAAGGGTCGCGGCATTAGGAAGGTTGAGAACCACTGTTCTAGAGTGTCATGGCTTCAGGTCTTATGTTCAAGTCTGGAATCCTTTTTGAGTTCGTTATACTTCCCACAGCACCTTTGTACGAGCGAAGCTTCATAAAATTGTGGGAGACATTTCCCATGTAGTCCATGAACTCGTCATTTTCTGATGGCCGAGGCGGAGAAAGAGCGGAGCCAGCGTGCTTCTCTCACCCTCGCCAACACCAACGTGCCCAGCAGGTGGCTTCCTGGGAAATGGAGAAGCAAATTAAAGACAGAAAAAGCAAATTCCTGACCATCCATCTCCCCACATACACACCTTTTCCCCGACAGATTGTAGAAGCTAAATTCACAACATTCCAGTCATTTCTCCACTATTCTGAATTGTACCTTAACATTTACAAAGGAGTTTTCATAAATTCCCTCTAAAAACAGGCGATGAGACCCCCACCCCCTTTTCATGAAAGGAGAGGGTATGTGGCTTTACCTGCCACATGGGCCCGCCCTGGCCAGC